ATGTATATATATATATATATATGTATATATGTATATATATATATATATATATATATATATATATATGTATGTATATATGTACATATATACATATATATATGTATGTATATATGTACATATATACATATATATATATATATATATATATATATATATACAGTAGATTTCTCATGCGAACGAGTTCGTACGAATCACCTCCGTGTTTGTTAAAGCAGGGGTCTTTTTGAAAAATTGGCGACGACGAAAAATAAAACGGCACTCACGAATCTCGAGCTGGGGATTGTTAAAGCAGGGGGTTTTTTGAATATATAGCGACGACTAAATCTACAAGCGCACAGCTCGTGACCCCCAATCTTCTTCCCCCATTTCTCCCCCATTTCTCCCAAAATCACAGCTTCAGCTCCTTGTTGAATCAGCCGACTTTCCTCCTCCGTCGAGTTCCCCAACTCCGCCCACCACGAAAGCAGCCTCGCCGCCGATCTTCCTTCGAGCTCGAGCGCTACAACGAGATCCCCATTTCTCCTCCTCCATCAAGCCACCTCCTTCCCCCAACTCAGGTAAGGATCACGGCCATCCATTTACAGGTTTTGATTAGGGTTTTTTTTGATTTTTTTTTTTCGATTTCCTGGTGCTTCAGCGTCCTCTCCCCCAACTCGGTCTTTTTTAGTTTAATCTCTACCAATCTTTTTTAGTTTAATGGAGGTGTTGGCAAATTTGAGTGGGGCTTCAGATGATTAGAAACAATATAAATAAATAGATCAAGGTGGGTGATTGTGATATTCCTTCAATCTGAGTTTCATAATGGCACTGAAAATATATCATTCACAGCGACTAATTGAGATTTAATTTATTCGAGTACCTAATTCAGGGTTTAAGTCGTTGGGATAAGAATGTGGAGCAGTTTTGCTTGGCTATACAGATGATGAGGAGCATGTTGTTTTGTTGCTGGTTTAAGTTAGGGTGTTAATATGGTTATTGGTGACAACTCATGCTCTCAGATGGTTTTTATAGCGTAGAGGACACTATTCTGACCATCTCATGGTGCTTTAGTTTTAGAGGAATTCTAGAGATTCTAAGGGTTTTGAAGTCAATGCTCAGTTTTGAGATCAACTCTCTTCTTATTCTTCTTCTCTAATCTCTTAGTTTGCCGACCAAGTGGTCATTATTGTTTATTTTCTTAATCTCTTGTGCTTTTCCTATGTCAACTTGTAATGGGGTGTAATATTTATTTGTGTTAATTGCACATACACCCCTTATACTTGCTGCATCTGAATCTTTATATATTTTTAACATGATTAATTACAGAATGGATAACTTGGGCACTGAAGCTAATGAAGTAAACATGGACGACGATGATTTGATATATACTCCTCAAGTTTCAGATGAGTTGAGGCCAAAAAAAGGGCAAGAATTTGACACAATAGATGATGTTTTGACATTCTATAATGCTTATGCTAAAGCAGCTGGGTTTAGTGTAAGGTCTTGGACTACTCAGAAAGAGCCGGGAAGTTGTGAAATAAGAAGAAATGAGTATGTTTGTTTTAAACAAGGAAAATCTTTAAAAATCGCAGATGTTGGAAAGAAAAGACGTCGGGGAAACTTAGCTGAGAATTGTACTGCCAAAATTGCTGTTTTGAAATCAAACTCCGGAAAATACATTGTTACTGTTTTTAATGAGGAGCACAGTCACCCATTATCAACACCATCAAAGATTCATCTTTTAAGATCCCATCGTAACGTTTCAGCCGCAACAAAGTCTCTAACTAAACAGTTATCCATGGTGAATATACCTCAGCATCAACAATTCAGTTTTCTTGGAGTACAATCAGGAGGTATAGAAAATATAGGGTGCACTCAAAGAGATTTGTATAATCATGAAAGGGATATACGGGCTGATTTGAAGGGGCATGATGGTGAAATGTTTTATGAATATTTAAAATTAGAACAAGGAAAGAATCCCGCATTTACTTTTCAAATTGAGGCCGATGAGGAACAAAAGATTACTCGTTGTTTTTGGTCCGATGCAAGATCAAGACGGGCTTACAATTTTTTCGGTGATGTTGTAATCTTTGATACTACTTACAACACTAATCGCTATGGCTTTATATTTGCACCAATAATGGGGGTTAACAATCATGGTCAAACAATTATTTTTGCTTGTGGATTTTTGAATCATGAGAGCGTTGATGATTTTGTGTGGTTATTTAATCAATTTTTGGAAAGTATGCCTGGTGGTGCCCCGAAGATGATTATTACCGATCAAGACCCAGCGATGACTAAGGCATTCCCTCTTGTTCTTCCAAATACTTTTCACAGGTATTATAGTTTGTGTATATTATTAAAAATATTTATATGCATAGTCTTTCTTTTTAACACTTTATTTAATTCTTTTGACAGGTATTGTAGTTGGCATATATTAATGAAGTTTTCTGAGAAAATTGATGCAGTGAAGTATAGTATTTATAAAAGTGAGTTCTCGGCTTGCATTTGGAAATCAGAGACTCCTGAAGAATTTGATTTACAATGGGAAAGTCTGATTAAGAAAAGTGGGTTAGAAGGAAACAGGTGGTTGCAAGACCAATATGAACTTCGGTCAAGATGGATTCCTACATATGTTAATCACATTTTCTCAGCAGACATGTCAAGTAGCCAACGAGCAGAAAGTGGACATGCATTCTTCAAGAAATTTGTTTCGAAGAATAATTCATTGGTGGATTTTATGATACAGTTTGGCAGGGGACTAGTGCGCCAACGTCACGAGGAGTTGATGGCCGATCACAAAGACTTGATTGAGAAACCTAAACTTAGAATAAATCATGACTTTTTGGAGCAAATGGTTGATATTTACACTAATGAGATGTATTTCAAGTTTGAGGCTGAAGTGTGTGACAGCTTTAACTACAAGTTGCAGTTTGTTAGGGAAACCGACAATCGCCGTGTGTATCAAATTCAAAGAAAGAAGCTCGCAACAAGCAAAGTCCGCGAAATCGTTTATGACAAGGACTTGGATTTGGTTTCTTGTAGTTGTAAAAAGTTTGAAAGTGCAGGAATCGTATGTTCTCACATTATCTCCTACTTGATGAAATTTGATGCTGAAATATTGCCCGATAAATACATCTTAAAGAGGTGGACTAAGTCTGCAAAATCGGGGACAGTGGTTGATTTGTAGTTGTAAAAAGTTTGAAAGCGCCGGAATCGTATGTACTCACATTATCTCCTACTTGATGAAATTTGATGCTGAAATATTGCCCGATAAATACATCTTAAAGAGGTGGACTAAGTCTGCAAAATCGGGGACAGTGGTTGATGATAAAGGTATGCAGATAAGGCCTGACAATTCTTATATTTTAACACGAAGTCAATTTATCCAATCATCTTTGGAATTAGTTGACAAGTCCCTTGTATGTGAAGAAACGAGGAAGATGTTTACCGATGGAGTGCGTATCATTAATGAGCAAATCGACCAATTCATTAGTAGCCACATGGTTAGTGGCCGCACGGTTGCAAAGAGCTTCACCGAGAAAAATAATCAAATGAGTAGTAATTTAATGGATGATGGTACTAGTGTGCAGGATTCTTGTACTTTTCAAAATAGTTTCAATGAACCCGATCAAGTGCGAGCAAAAGGGTGCGGCAAAAGGTTGAAGGGAGGAAAAGAGAAAGCAATGGCTAGAGCAAAAAATAAAAAAGATAGACGTTGCCACGGGTGTGGTAAAGTAGGCCAATCACACGATAAGCGAAATTGTCCGGCACTCACAAATCCGTAAGTAGTAATTCTTTTATTATTTAAGCCTTTCTTATTCTTCACCTTCTATTATCCCCTTGGTGTGTATATATATATTTTTTCATTATAATGTAGGTCTTCTACTTGCGATGATACAAATTGGCAAGAGAGTAATGAGTCATCAAGTGAAGATGGGGATGATGGGCTCCTATGAAGACGGTCTTCTACTTGATGAACAAAGCCGAGCAGCATCCCTCAAGCATCCCTCAAGCTCACGAGTCTGGAAACCTTGTTCTAAAGAAAGACATCAGTGTTCCCTAATAGCTTCTGGTGGATTGATTGTCCTTTCCTCTTATATGGAGTTTTGTGTGCATTCTTTGCACATCATATAAATTGTAAAGCATATTAATTCCCCCTCATCTCTTGATGTGGTTATGTTCGCGTCGATTGGTTTTTTGGGTTTTCTCTCTTTGGTTACCTTAACTGTAAGTTGGTCAGTTCAGTTCAGTTCTGTGATTGATAACGGTATTTTCAGCTAATTCTCTATTCCTTTGATTAGTCTGCCTGAAGCAATGCACAAGTTTATGTACAGACAGTCGTTTCAATTTTCTTCTTCCTTATTCTCAGAAGATTAGTTTATGTCTTCGGTTTTTTGGGTTATGTTCTGAGTTTGCCAGGTTTGTTGCTTGTTGCTGAAACTTGATTATGAATGCACAGTTTTTCTGTTCAGGAAGCAAGCAAGCATGCATATTTGCTGGAGTTCTGATCGTAGCAAATTCTGGTTACAAATCATAAAAAGCTGTTAAAAATTCTGGTTACAAATCCTGAAGCTATGATCTTTTGAAAAGCTATTTTTGTTATACATTTTGAAGTAGAGAAAGAGTCACAGGTCGGGGATTTTGCATTGAAGGCTACAATGCAATCATGCTTGCGGTTGTCATGTTGATTACTGAAGGCCAAAAACAAGTGGCTGTTATATATCAGCACATTCCTGTACCTGATAGATTCCATGCTTGGGTTGTACACAATGATAAAAGTATCATGTGGACAGTGTAAAAAGATAGTAGGCACATCTGGGTACAAGAGAGAAAATCACCTTTTTATATCTTTATAAATCAAAGAAACTCCCCCATAAACTTTTAAAATTTATAACTCTTTAATCTAATAGTTGGCACTCACTTTCTGGGGACTTTCTGGGGACTTCTAACAAAAAAGATCCATTATAAAACTTTATTAGCAAAACCCACATTCATGTTACATATGTAAACAACAAACTCAGCCATGGTCTCCAACTCAAAACTTGTATATCAAAGCATCACTTAATATGTCTACTCATTCCGAAAGAAAGCAATAATATACTGAGCTTTTTGAAAATTGATCACATGAAAGTTCCCTCGGTTCAAAGAAAGTAACGAACCTAATACAAATTACATCACATGTTTTTTGCAATGGAGAAACCAACAAATATTGCAACGATACATACTAGAAACACTAATATTGTAAACAATGAACCTAATACAAAATCATAGCTAGAGAAAATAGAAGTTTCCCTAAGTTTTTCCTTGTCCTCATCCAGATTATGTCTCACTGGATATCTTTCTTCTTGAGCATACTCAGATGTTTGGACATGCCTCGAGCTGGATGCTGGATCACGAGCGAGTGTGTGCTTCTCCCATTCAATCAAAGCCTCTTCGTACGTTGCATACCCTTTGAAGGAGGCATTTGGGAACTTATCTACCTGAGACTTGCATTCCTCCCAATTATCAAAAATACCACATCGTCGACCTCTCTTCACAACATAAAAACTTTTTCTAGCCATGGATAACCTGAAAATACCCCAAATTGGAGGGTAAACAAAATTTTTACAAATGATCAGTTAGCAAGCAAAGTTAAAAAAGTAATTATTTATCCTACGCACTGAATACTTTCAAATTAATACCCAATACCATTGTGCTCAATCAAACTTACTTTTTAACAGAGATCAAAAGCACAGAGATCAAAAGCCTGCATCCTTTTTTTAACAGAAGCTTACGCCAAGGTTTCATCTTCATCGCAAAGTTTGATCTTCTATGCTCGCAAGGTTTCAAAATGAGCACTGCAAGTCTTAATCTCGGTATCATTTTGGCTCTAAATCTTGATCAACTCCACTTCTTCGAGCTTGTTTTTATAGTTTTTGGATACTAAATATCTATTGAATATTTGTGACAGGTGCAAAAACTATTTCAACCAAAAAAAAAAGATACACAGGAAATGCTAAAGTTTAGTGCAGCCAACAAGATATTTCCAGAGGTTGAAATTTTTCCGATTCATCAGTATATAAATGAGGAACTTGAGAGAATGATCAAGGAGGACGTGAAGTATCCGTTTGTGATTGATATTGAGAACTCCCTCAAGTGTAAATTTGATATTTCAATGTCTACCTTGGAAAACATACCAATAAATTATCTATCGAGTGAATAACACTACAATGGTATTTGTTTTAAATACTTATGGAGTGACAGATCCTACAATGGTATACAAAAGATACGTAAAACTTTCAATGAAGAGGGAAACGTACAAAACCAGAGCTTAGAATCCATGAAAATGATTCTGTCCCTTTCATCACCAAATCATGACCAAATCAACAACTTATGTACTTTAGGGCCGTGATCCTTACCTGAGTTAGGGGAAGGAGGTGGCTTGATGGAGTAGGAGAAATGAACCAAGTCGGCGGCGATGCTGCTTTCGTCGGCGGCGATGCTCGAGATCGTGCTGGGCGGGGTTGGAGAACAGTCTGACGGAGGAGGAGAAATGATTCACCGCGAGAGAGGGGTCGAGATCTGAAATTGGGGAGATTGAAAAAAAAGCTGTGATTTTGGGGGAAATTGGGGAAGTCGGAGAGAGGGCTGAGATCTGATTCAATGCGAGCTCGGTCTTCGATGTTGTATTAGGGGTTCTCGTCGTCGCCATTTATTCAAAAAAACCCTTGCTTTAACGAACACAATCTCGAGCTCGTGACTCGCGGATGTCGGGTGATTTATTCAGAAAACCCCTTGACGAAGACGAGAACAGTCGGATTCGTACGAATTCGTTCGCATGAGAAATTTACTGTATATATATATATATATATATATATATATATACTTATGTCAACTTAAATGGATAGCAAAAAGTTATCCACCAAACTTTTTAGTCACTCATATTGCATAGGGATTCTTGCATAATATGAAAATGTTTTCCGTACATGATATGAAAATAAATTTTATATTAATAGATGAGTGGCTAGGAAGTTTGGTGGACATCAACTTAAGTTGATAGGAGTCTTATAATTATTTTTTTAGTTCTCTTTAATTATTTATAATTAAAAAACTAATAAACACATTTTAAATTCCCTTTTATTTTATATATAAGTAGAGATTAATGTTTTCCTATTACCTTTACATTTTAAAAAATTGTCAGATCTTCTTAATTCCGTAAAAGATAAATTTCACTAAACTTTCAATAAGTTTGGCTATTTAGCACTAAACCTGAAATTTTTTTGAATTTTAGAAAACCATCAAAATATTTATTAATTGAAACCCGACCCGCAAACCCAAAACCGACCCGCTAACTCATTAAAACCAAATCTACCCATTTTCCTCCTGATCTTCATCGCCGCCGCCTCCTCCTCCTCCTTTTCGCCGCCGCCTTCTTCTCGAGCTGATCACTGCACTTCCTCCTCGAGCTGATCACTTCGCCTCCTCGATCCACCTCCTCTTCGCCGCCTCTTCGCCTTCATCGCCAGCCCTCTTCTTCTCTTTTTAAGGTAAATTTTTTATTTTTTTCACTTTTTTTTAAATTTTTTCCCACTGTGATTGACTGATTTGTAGTAAACAAATATGTACATGATGCAAATTGAACCTCTTTGCTGCCAAAAAAATTTCTTATTTTACAGATCCAAATACAATTAGACGAGAGTTTTTGTTGGTGAAACTGTTGATCTTTTATGCGGTTTGAGAATCCAATCTTGATATAATACAGAAGCAGTTCAACTGAAACAAATCTTCATGCTGCAGACCTGAAAAATTTCCGACCAAGCAAAAAATTAATCTTTGCAAGAAAATCCAACTATTATAACTAAATAATTTTGAAAAATAGCCAAATGCCAAGGATCTAGTCTGCCTAGTCCGCCTAGCGCTTTCTGTAACATTGATTCTTTTGTAAATTGGTGATATTGTACGGTTAGTAAGTGCACCTATGCATAACTATATAACAATGCCTCAACAAAATATACTGAAATTCTGCAGAAAAATCGAAACGAAGGGCGAGTTCCAATTTCTTTTGAGATCATCAGCTTCGTACTTCTTTCGTTAATGGATCCGGATTCAGTGAAATCGACCTTATCAAATCTAGCCTTTGGAAATGTAATGGCAGCAGCTGCTCGTGATTATCAAAAGGTGCGATTTTTATACTCCTTCCTCAGTTCTGATCTTCTGATCTCATTTTTTTCTGTTCGATATATGATAATTGAGCAAGGGGTCGTGAGAAGGTTTGATCTTTCAAATTGGGGAAGTATTTGTGTGAACAGTGAATTAGTTACCTTTCCCAATTGTTATTTTGTAGATCTGATATCATAGGAGCAGAGAAAAATTTATGTTGGCAAGTTTTAAAAAAAAGTCGTCTTTACCGATACTTAACGTTTTTCAATTTTTTGATCTGATGGCAATGAATTAAAATCGATTGTAATTTCTCAACGAAATTTTATTGGCTTCTTAAGGAATCTGGATATTGGATGCCTGTGGACTAAATTATTATATAATGCTTTTGGAGCTGGTTGCCACATATTTTTAATTGCAAGTTTGGCCTGTTGAGGAAGGTGAGTTTAATGTTTTGTTCTTTCAAGATAAACCAAGCATAGAGCTCCTTCATCCTTTCTAAGGGACTGAATTAGATTTTATTGCGGAAAGCATGAGGTTTAAGGAGGTCTAATATCAAATCTGTTGGCTAAGCTTTCTGAAAAGGAACAAATTTGCTGCAACTTTATGTTGATATCAATATGTCAGTATGTACTGGGAAACACAATCGAACAATCTCATGCATTTACATTTAAATTTATTGCAAATACTCAAGTAAGCAGGCTTCCTATTTTTAGGTGTTATTAGATGGCGACTGACATGGTATTGCTGAATATGCCATCTGTTAGGGCTTGTTTGTTGTCAAAAATGGATGCTACATGTTTATTCCCATTCCCATTACCATCTATGGTTTTGGAGTAAAGACATTTCGCAAAATTGTGATGTTAGTCTGACAGCTGTTGTACTTTTTTGTCAACTCCGGGAACAATTTTAATATGTGAAGACCCCATTTGGGTGATAAATAGTTTATCATGTTCTGACAACTTACAAGTGCTGATAAGAGGATTGGTGCTAGGAATTTAAAAAGTAAAAATAGAGGTTAGTTAAGAAGTTTTTCTTTTATTGAGATGCTAATTTTGCCTCTTTTTTAGCTCAGCATCCAGATTTATTGATAAACTTAGATAACGAATTGTTCTTTTGAACTAATGCCACCTGTTTGTAAATGGTGTTGACCCCTAGAATAAATTATTGAATCTAAAAGCCATTTTGGGGTTAGTTGGTGTTTGATTTAAAAATTCTCTCTAATATTGTTCCCTCTCCCTAGTTTGAAATGGCGAAGATATCTATATTGCAATCTTTGTCACATGTCCTTCCTCTTATTCCTCCCTATTGACAGTCAATTTCCAGCCATGTAGATGATCTGATAGTAACATAACATTATTCTTGTTATTGTAAAGAAAATCTTAATAAACTTACTCAAAATCTATGCAATGCTTATGGGTCAACAACTGGCTGCTAGTCATGATCTGATAGTAACATAACGTTGTTCTTGTTATTGTAAAGAGAATCTTCATAAAGTTACAGACCTATGGCACTTGAAATTTCTTGTTCATTCAATTACTCAAAACCTATGCAATGCTTACAATTCAACAACTGGCTGCTAGTCAAAGGTAGACGAAGATGATCGGCATTTTGGTGGATGATAATACGATGAATAAAAGTTCAAATAAACTGTTTGCAGTTTGCATGATACTTTGTTGTAATATTTATACTGTCTTCTGTAATCTGTGTGGCTGTGAGGTTTGTTAGTCTATACATCTTTGCATAATGTAATTCTACTAAATGGTAGCTTAATATTCCTTTATATCTCTGCAATAATGCTGATCATAAACGGAATTGACATGAATACTATATCTCGGCTCATTTTTTCCCCTGTAGAGGGATAATGTAATCAAGCCTGTACAGATTTTTAGTCATTGCTCAGTCCATGAATATTCCAATAGCTTTCTTGTGACCATCCATCTATGACACAGGAACTGTTAGCTACACAAGAGGCTCAGGCATCCCGAGGAACCAATGAGGAAGTTGACCTTGATGAGTTACTGGATGTAAGTTATTATCAAGTCTATATACCTCAAGATGATGTTGAAAATTGCATTATGTCTCTATACCTTTAATCTACTTAACCTTTGCTACACTATGATTCAGGACCCTGAGCTGGAAAAGTTACATGCAGACAGAATTGCTGCTCTCAAGGTAGTGAGAAATAACAATATTTTCTTTGTGAATTCATAATTGAAGAAGTTAGTATACAATATGGAGTTATAAGGATGCATACATTAACAGAAAGAAGCTGAAAAGAGGGAGGTCTTGAAAGGGCAAGGGCATGGTGAGTACAGAGAGATATCTGAGGGAGACTTTCTTGGGGAAGTTACCGATAGTGAAAGAGCGATCTGTCATTTCTACCACCACGAGTTCTACCGTTGCAAGTAATTTCATCACATAGAACTTATATGAAAGTAATTAAAGCACATACTTTTATGTAGATTGGTCATTTCATATCCAATTTTAATGTGATTGATTTGGTCCTTATTCTTTCTAGGATAATGGATAAGCATTTGAAGGCCCTTGCACCACAACATATTAATACAAAGTTCATTAAATTGGATGCTGAAGTTGGTTTCTGTTAACCATTCTCTTTTTTTTTTTTGAAAAAAAATAAACAGGACTAATTACTATTGGAATTGAATGCAGAATGCTCCTTTCTTTGTGACGAAACTGGGGGTCAAGACTCTTCCTTGTGTAATATTGTTCAGGTATATTCATCTTATTGAAACCTCTTTATTGTTGCATTTTCATGTATGGATTCTTATATGTTGATATTAATCACATACATTGCTCCCTGAGATTTATATCGAAATTCATAGTTTTGAGTCATCTCTGCATAATTTTTGTAGGAAGGGAATTGCCTTTGATAGGATAGTTGGATTTCAAGACCTAGGAGGCAAAGATGATTTCACTACAAGAGCATTGGAGAATCTTTTAAAAAGAAAAGGTGCTTCTTGTTTCCTAAAACTCTTTTTGAGAACACGTGTTAGGTTGCGATGTCTAAACTATCTCATGTTTCAGGAATCATCAACGACAGGAAGAAGGATAATGACGACGATGATGACGATGACGAGTATGGAAGAAATAGGAGTGTCAGATCATCAGATGTTCAGGGTTCTGATTCTGATTGAAAGTGGCAACTTGGAGTTTTTCTATATTTTGTATACTATGTACTGTTGGCTTTGCGGCATCTGATAGATCTAAACCAAAACTTGAGATCTAAAACCATATAGCCATGATTAATTCAAAGAGATTAACAAGAATCATAAATGAGCGGAAGCTTATACCTGAATCCATAGAAGAAAACTTGATCTGGGTTTCAATGATCTTCTAACCTTAGGGTTTCTCTAAATCCGAATTTCTCTCTCTAGATGGGGGTGAAGAGAATTAGAGAGTGTAACCCTAGGTTAGGAACCATAACCCCTTATTTATAGATATTGTACATTTGTAATTTAGCCCCTCAATAAATCACAATTACAACCTGGTATCTGCACATATAACCCCATGATTATATTTAAATACTCATTAACCCAACTTAATTGATCACTTTAGTGGGTTATCCTGAAAGATAGCAATACACATTGATTAATCATATGTGCCCACAAATAGATTTATTAGATTAAATCCAACAATCTCCTACTTGGGCACCATATGATTCCTTAAATTGTGTATAATCTTATGAGCTCAAAAATTGCTATCACTGAAAAGGTATTTCCGAACAATCTCGTCCATTGACTATATCAATATAGGATTAAAGCGGCATTCGTCACATTTATCGTGACTCGACCCATCAATGGTCACATATACCAATACAATCAAACGACATAGATCAATCATGGATGTGCAGCATGAAAATTACATACAATGTGATCAGTACATGTCTATTTTCAACTGGTCCTCATTAGTGAGGTCAAAACCAAACATAATGTAACAGAGTGTCTTAACTGAATACTTTATTCTGATCAGACAATACAACCAAACATAAAGCACCACAATTACAAACTCCCACTAAAACATAATATCCTCAAATAATACCACACCCATATGAGCAGTATGCTCATGAAAGACCTTAGGTGGCAATCCCTTAGTAAGAGGATCAGCTATCATGGAGTTTGTCCCAATGTGCTCTATGGATATCTGTCCACTCTGTACCCTTTCTTTCACAACCAGGAACTTAATGTCAATATGTTTTGACTTAGTTGAGCTCCTGTTGTTATTGGAATACATTACTGCAGATTTATTGTCACAATATAACCTTAGTGGTCTTTCAACATTTTCCAAAATGCGCAGTCCCGTGACAAAATTTCGCAGCCATATTCCCTGATTGGATGCCTCATAGCAAGCTACAAATTCTGCTGCCATAGTGGAGGAAGCTACTAGTGTTTGTTTGACACTTTTCCATGATATAGCTCCTCCTGCTAACATATAAATGTAGCATGATGTAGACTTTCTGCTATCTTGGCATCCAGCAAAATCAGAATCCGAATACCCAATGACCTCTAATTTTTCTGATTTTCTGTATGTGAGCATGTAATCTTTTGTTTTCTTAAGATAACTCATAACCCTTTTGACTGCTATCCAATGATCCATACCAGGGTTGCTTAAGTATCTGCCTAACATCCCAACAATGTACGCAATATCCGGACGCGTACATACCTGAGCATACATTAGACTTCCTACAGCCGAAGCATAAGGAATCTTCTGCATTTCCTGAATTTCAAGGTTACCTTTAGGGCACTGATTGAGACTAAACTTGTCTCCTTTAGCAACAGGGGTGTCACCTGGTCTGCAATCTTGCATGCCAAACCTTTTAAGTACCTTATCGATATAGCTCTTTTGTGATAATCCAAGAATACCCCGAGAGCGATCTCGATGTATCTGGATCCCTAATATAAAAGAGGCGTCCCCAAGATCTTTCATCTCAAAATTCTTTGATAGAAATCTCTTGGTTTCGTGCAACATGCCTATATCATTAGTGGCAAGCAAGATGTCATTGACATACAGAACCAGAAAAATATACTTACTCTCACTGAACTTGTGATATACATAGTCATCAACAATGTTAATCTCAAAACCGAACGAGATAATTATTTGTTAAAACTTATGATACCATTGACGAGGAGCTTGCTTGAGTCCATAGATGAATTTTCTTAATTTGCAAACCATATTCTTTGGGTCTCCTGACACAAAGTTTTCTGGTTGCACTATATAAATCATCTCATCAATGTCTCCATTGAGAAATGCAGTCTTAACATCCATCTGATGTAACTCAAGATCATAATGAGCAACAAGTGCCATGATTATTCTGAAAGAGTCTTTCGATGAAACCGGAGAGAAAGTCTCTGTATAATCAATGCCTTCCTTTTGAGTATAGCCTTTAGCCACAAGACGTGCCTTATACCTCTCCACATTACCGTTTGCATCCCGTTTGGTTTTAAAAATCCATTTACAACTAATTGGTTTTGCACCTTCTGGTAATGGGACAAGTTCCCAAACCTTATTGTCTTGCATAGACTTGTACTCTTCATTCATGGCATCAATCCACTGTTGAGAGTTAGAACTTTTCATGGCCTGAGAGAAGTTGATTGGATCATCTTCTAACATTCCACTACTTTCCTCATGTTCTTGGAGAAATACAATATAATCATCCGGAATAGCATTTCTCCTTTCTCTCGTGGATCTCCTTAATGGCACTGGTTCTTGAGGTTGTTGAGTTTGTTCTTCTAGAACAGGGAGTTGTTCAACATTGTCATCTTGAGGTTCCGGATTTACTTCTTAAGCAACAACAGGTATAGGAACCTGAATATTGTCAAAAGTAACTGTATGGATTGGATCTGAAGCCAATTCCTCCTCAAAACTAATGTCTCTAACCTTATTTCTCCCCCCAAACTCAACATCCTCAAAGAATGTTGCTGTTCCCGTCTCAAAAATATTCCTTATAGTGGGATCATAAAACTTATAGCCCCTAGAGCGATCAGGGTACCCAATAAAGTAGCTGCTAACTGTTTTGGAGTCCAATTTCTTTTCATTTGGCCTATAAGGCCTTGCCTCAGCTGGACATCCCCAAATATGTAAATGCTTTAAACTGGGCTTTCGACCAGTCCAAAGCTCATAAGGTGTTTTAGCAACTGCTTTACTTGGTACTCTATTCAGAATGTAAGCTGCTGTCTTAAGTGCTTCTCCCCAGAGTGACTCTGGTAAAGAAGAATGAGCAATCATACTTCTTACCATATCCTTAAGAGTCCTATTTCGTCTTTCAGCTACACCATTCATGCTAGGTGAACCCGGCATGGTGTACTGTGGGACGATACCGCATTCCTCTAGGTATCTAGCAAATGGTCCTGGACGTTGTTCACCTGAACCATCATATCTACCGTAGTACTCACCACCACGATCAGATCTGACGGTTTTAATTCTTCTGTTGAGTTGATTCTCAACTTCAGCTTTATAGGCTTTGAACATGTCCAGAGACTCAGATTTTTCATGAATAAGATATAGGTGCCCATAACGTGAGTAATCGTCTATGAATGATATAAAATATTGTTGACCATTCCAGGATTCCGTAGGGAATGGCCCACAAATATCCGTATGTATCAATTCTAAGACATCCGAAGATCTGTTGGCACCTAATCTCTTCACTTTGGTCTGTTTTCCCTTGATACATTCAACACATACGTCGAAGTCCGAAAAATCAAGGGAATCCAAAATGCCATCAGACACAAGACGCTCAACTCTACCTTTTGAGATATGACCTAAGCGCTTATGCCATAATGTCGCCGAATTTTCCTTATTTAATTTACGCTTAGTACCACGTGATTCCACATGCAAGGATTCATTGTAAGAAGCAATTGTATCAAGCAAATATAGGTTGTCATAAATACTCAAGTAACCGGTTCCCACAACATTTGAATTAAAAGATAAACTGAATTGACTGTTTCCAAATGAACAAGAATAACCTGATTTGTCCAATACAGAAACAGAAACCAAATTCCGTCTAAAAGACGGTACTACAAAAGTATCTTTTAAATCCAAATAATAACCAGTTCCTAACAACAACCTAAAGTGCCCAATTGCTTCCACATCTACCGATTGTCCGTCGCCCACAAAGATGTGTCTTTCAACATCACTTGGCTTTCGGTAGCTCAGGCAACCCTGCATAGAAACACTTATGTGAGTAGTAGCACCAGAGTCTAACCACCAAGTGTTTCTAGGTACTGAAGCTAAATTAACCTCAGAACAGACCAAAGCAAGGAACGTACCCTTATTATCACGCCAGGCGTGATATTTTGTACAGTCCTTCTTTACATGTCCAGGCTTCTTACAGAAGAAACAACCCTGATTATCCTTATGTTGTTTCTTCTCAACTGGACCCTTAGCAGCTTCCTTATCATTCTTCCTTTTCTTGCCCTTATCCTTAGAGGCATAGGCCAAATGAGCACTTTCTGTCTTATCTTGCTTCAACCTGTCTTCTTCTTGCACACAGTATGAAATGAGCTCATTTAGAGTCCATTTCTCCTTTTGACAGTTATAACTGACCTTAAATTGATTAAACTGTGCAGGAAGAGACAACAGAACCAGATGCACTAATAACTCATCACAAAGATCGAGTTTAAGTGCCTTAAGTTTTGAAGCAATATGAGACATTTTCATAATGTACTCCCTGATGTTTCCCTTGCCCTTATACTTCATCGAAATCAAGCGAGCTAAAAACGTGCTTGTTTCTACCTTATCGTTTTTAGCAAAACGCTTCTCAATTTCGGCAAGGAAATCTTTAGCATTAGTAATCCCTTCGGATTCTATGCCCCTGAAGGCTTCCGGAACGCCGCGCTTAATGATCATAAGACTCATGCGATTTGAACGCTCCCACTTCTCATGCTCCTTCTTTGCATCAGGAGTGCTATCCGCATTGAGAGGTTGGGGTTGTTCAGTTCTTAATGCATAGTCAAGATCCATGCAGCCAAGAACAATTAATATGTTCTCTTTCCAAACCTTGAAGTTTGTCCCATTTAGCATGGGAATTGAGTTGATGTTAGCAGAAATTGTTGCAGCAGATGCATTAGCTGAAATAAAACAACAAATGCTCACATCAATAACCATAATCAATAAAATTCAAATAATGACAATCCCCATCCAAGATATCGGGCACAACATTAATATCAAGTCTTTGGACAGTAATATTAACTTGTAAGTGATACCTTGTTGCAATGATCAAACATTGACAATAACTCATGTCAAATAATGAAACTATCTTTGGATCGATTCATTATTCACATGTAAACCTTATAATTGTCACACGCTTATCATCGCAGATGTGTATACAGTCTAAATAAATATTAACCTTCCTTTGGGCCGATTAAATATTTACACGAAAGCATACACACAAACATCTCACATTCCTCATGAACTTAATTGAATAAATTAAGTATATCAAAGTGGACCCATGAAAAGCTGAGGCTTAACCATAGTGAACACGAAGTTCGCTTAACTTCGAACGCGAGGTTCGACTGTATTGAGTACGAGACTCACTTAAGTACGAACGCGAGGTTCGTTTGAAAAATGAACGCGATGTTCAACTTGAGAACAAACGCGAGGTTCGTTAAAAAAAATGAACGCGAGGTTCAACTGAAGTATGAACGCGAGGTTCGACTGAAGAACGAACACGAGGTTCGACTGAAGCACGAACGCGAGGTTCGACTGAAGCTTGAACGCGAGGTTCGACTGAAGCACGAACGCGAGGTTCGACTGAAGCACGAACGCGAGGTTCGCTGAAGCACGAACGCGAGGTTCGACTGAAGCTCGAACGCAAGGTTCGACTGAAGCACGAACGCGAGGTTCGACTGAAGTACGAACGCGAGGTTCGCTGAAGCACGAACGCGAGGTTCGACTTAGAACTGAACACGAGGTTCATCTTAGAACTGAGCGCGAGGCTCACATTAGAACGAACGCGAAGTTCGTTGAGCGCGAGGCTCACTTGAGAACGAACGCAAAGTTCGTTTGAACGCGAAGTTCGGTTAAAATTGAACGAACGCGAGGTTCGTTTGAAGCTTACCTCTTCGCCAAAATTTGAGGTAACCACCTCCTTAATGTTCGCCACGTTTTCACGCATGAACCCTTAGGGTTTCAAACTGAAACCGCCGCCATTAAATCAAAAAACAGATCTAGAATTGAAAAATGTGTTTTCTTGATCCAGATCCAAGAAAAAAAACCGCCGAAAAATCCAAAAAATTCCAAAAAGTTACTGTTCACCGGCGATTTTTCAGTTACTGTTCATCCGAAAAATTTTCGTTGCTGTTCATCCGAACAAAAAAATTTGTTTATCCAAAAAACAAAACTGAATCTTTAACCAGAGATTTAAGATCAAAAAACCCAATAAAACTTAAATCCCTAAGAATTAATCAAGGTGGCTCTGATACCACTTGATAGATCTAAACCAAAACTTGAGATCTAAAACCATATAGCCATGATTAATTCAAAGAGATTAACAAGAATCATAAATGAGCGGAAGCTTATACCTGAATCCATAGAAGAAAACTTGATCTGGGTTTCAATGATCTTCTAACCTTAGGGTTTCTCTAAATCCGAATTTCTCTCTCTAGAGGAGGGTGAAGAGAATTAGAGAGTGTAACCCTAGGTTAGGGACCATAACCCCTTATTTATAGATATTGTACATTTGTAATTTAGCCCCTCAATAAATCACAATTACAACCTGGTATCTGCACATATAATCTCATGATTATATTTAAATACCCATTAACCCAACTTAATTGATCACTTTAGTGGGTTATCCTGAAAGATAGCAATACACATTGATTAATCATATGTGCCCACAAATAGATTTATTAGATTAAATCCAACAGCATCACCCTCTGGTAGCCTGTTTCCAGGGATTAATATCTGGCACAGGTTTTTCCTAAATTTATATTTGAGCAGATCCATGTTCACTTTTATTGTAAGCTTTGTCTGGAGGTGTTCATCTGTTCAACATTCAGCTGTGTTGGCGCCTAATTTTGAACTATATGTAGCGAAAGAGAGAGAGAGAGAGAGAGAGAGAGAGAAAGAGCTTCCATGTAAATTTCACAAAAGTATCATGATCTATGAGGGATTTTGAACTGTAAAACTTCACGGGAATTGAACTCCCATGAAGTTTCGGAACTTTTTTTTGTAAAAACCGACCAGGTTTCAGCGCTGAGATTGAAACCAGGTCGGTTTTTACAAATAAGAGAGAAATGAGTTGTTTTTTGAGAATAAATTTGCAAAATAGTTTGTTTTGAAAATTTGTCCAATAATTAACTGATTGTTAGTGTAAGCTAGTACGAGATGCAAATGTGATGTATTTTGGATTTTTTTTCGTTATGATATACTTTGTATAATTATTCTCATTCCCCCCTTTCAACTTGTGTTTAGAGCTAGGGAAAAAAAAAAGAAAAGAAAATGAAAAAAATTGGTCTGCTCACCTTTGCAGGCCTTTTTCTTTATCCTTGTTGATTTTTCTATTTTTCGTATTTTTGTATAATACTGTGTACTCTTCCCTTTGCAGGCATTTTTCTTTAATTGTTGTTGAATTATTATTTTTCTTTGTCCAGAGATTAATGTTTGGTACAGGTTTTTGCTCAAATTATATTTGAACAGATCCATGTGATCGAGTTAATTTTTTCGTAAGCTTGGTTAGGAGGTGCTCATAATGTTTAACATTCGAGGCCTGATTTTGAACTAGGTAGCGGAAGTCTTCAGGCTATCCTAAAAATATCCCTCAAAAGTAAAAAGTTTATTACCAGAAAAAACTTTCAAATTTGAATAAAACTATCATAAAAAATTATATAAAAACCACCAAAAACTTTCAAATTTGCCAACAGAAGACTATCCTATTGGTATTCATGGTGTTCAAAAGTCTAAACTAAAACTATAAATGCCAACAGATATGTTCAATTAGTATGAAAGCATATAAAGCAAAAGTGTGATTGCTCAATACATATAAAATGCATGCTAATTGCTATTGCTCAATGAAAAAGTTTTAACACAATATATATTTGTCTTTCATTGTATTTCAATTCTTCTTTTCTTTTTGTATAGAAACAGCTTTGTGATAGAAACCCCATCTTATTTCTTTTTTTTAATTCTTCTCTTTAATAAAAGGAAAGCTCTTTCTTTTCTTTTTGTATAGAAACAGTTTTATGATAGAAACTGACATTAACAACTTTTCTTTACTTTCAAATCCAATTGCTCGCTAGAATAATAAAATGTTGCTAGCATCAAATGAGATATTAGAGTGAATAGAGATGCGACGACTATGATATGTCTTTGAAGGCGACTTCTAACCGTAATGTATATAAAATTTGGCCAACTGGAAACCATGAACTATGGTCATAAATTGTGGGTTATATCTCATGAAATCGTAAATATTGGCCTTCGGGAAATTGTTTGTCAGTGAATCGAAACCATTAATGATGTCCCAAAATCATGGATTGTTAATTTTGACTTCTTAGATATAATTTGCCAATAGGTCAAAACCACTAAAAATGGCCAAATTTCATTCGCTCTAGCTCAACAAACCATAAATTTTGGCCTCCAGGAAATTATTTACCTATAGATTGAAACTACTAACAATGGTCAAATATTACGGGTTATAACTCATGAAATTGTTAATATTGGCATTTATGAAATTCTTTGGAAACGGGTCAAAACCTCTTAAAATGACCAAAAATAGTGGGCTATAGCTTATGAAGTTCGTAAATTTTAGCTTTCGTGAAATTATTTACCTACGATCGAAACCCAAACAGCCAATAATAGTGGGTCATATCTCATGAAATCCTAAATTTGGGAAATAATTTCCCAAAGAACACTTTCATAATTTCATGAGCTATATCCCACAATTTTTTGGATAGAGAATTGATGAGACCATGAGCATTTTTGGAGTTCACTATTTTTGGAGTTCACTTGACGAGATTACAAGACTTTGGTTGGTTTCATCATATGCTCGTTATAAGCAACAACATAGCTTTCCACATTCCTTCAGAAGAAGTTGGTACAAATAATTGAATTGCATGGGAAAACACAACCTCCGGAGTCAACACACACTGAGAAACGTGCAATCTCATCCGTCATCAAATGTTAAGCTCAAAGGCTCGGAAGAGGAAAGTCCTAATGTTAAGTTCAAAGGCTCCGAAGAGAGAAGTTCAATCTCAGCGCAAGGAGAAAACAAAAAAGCCCCAGCGACGACAAAGATCTGCAGCGAGAGCCTCTCGGTAATACATCTGTAAGTAAACATCACCATCCACAATTTCGTAACCAATTTCCATGTTTTACCTGAATAATTCGCGAGAGACCAGGAAAGGTTTAAGACAAATACAACAATAGTTGCACAAAGTCAAGAAAGAACGGCTGAACAAACACAAGAAGCTCATGGGAAAATGGCGAGAACTTCAGCCAACCACATCTTCGTCTTCTGTCATCCCAATGGCCATGCACCATCTCGAGCCATCTGCCTTAGCCATGGCCATGACCTAGCTACTGACACATTCTACTCCACGAAGAAAGCACCTCAGAGAACAGATAAACAATCTCAGTTTTCCTTTTCCTTTTTATTCTTGCCGAATTTCTGAAATTGCTAATTGGGAGAAGAAGATGACCAGAAAACATATTGATGTGCAATAACCCAGTTTCACTTGTGGCGCGAGATCTTTGCCATATATCACGTTACTGACTTCATATGCAGATGTGAAGGTTCTTGCAACCAATAGCCACACAAATAGACATCCACATCAACAGTCATGTTTTAACTATTACCTGCAAATCAATATTAACATTGTCAAACCACGTGGTAAAGCATTAACAAGAAATTCGTGAAATAAATATGCAAATAGGGTACGGCAGAGCATAGTATGTATCCTGCTTTAGGTCATTTCACTATTAATCAAACTGTTGCTCACTGTAACAAGTTAATAAAGTAGCACACCTACGCCAAAGACATGCAGAATACATCTACAATTAAAAAAACCCAATTACTAGATAATGTCATGCTAAAAGGTGTTCACCACATTTGAAGGTAAGAAACCATTAAAGTCCTTTGTTTAAGAATATGTGACTCAAGGGGACTTAAAGGAGACAAAAAAGCATATAACATTTTGAAAATAATTAATGGAAAAAATATTCGAACTGTATCCACTGTGTGTGTGCACGCACCCACTCAAGGCCACTGTTATTATTCTCATAATGCAATTTTAAATTAAAAAAATTTAAACTAAACTCTGATATGTATTTCTCAAAGCACTCAGGTCCTAAACAAAACTACACATCTAATGTATGCACGATATTAAACAGGAGAAACTTATCCCTTGCCCTTGGTGATCTCAATAGTAGATGTTTTGTTTTACACTTTGAATTCAAATCCTGAGGAGTAAAAATAGAAAACTATTTCCCAACCACTTAGTAATTAACAGATGAAATGGGAACTATTCTTAATGATTTGGATAGCACATCATGCATGAAAATACGAAGTTCAAACTTCATTCCAAGAGTGAAGAAGTAACTGGTATTGACAAAACACTTTTTTTTTCGTATTATTGCAAACGTTTGGTTGAACATTTCTCGTAGATTGTAAATCAAATGAATTAACAAGTAACACTTCAATCAATGAAAAGTTACATTAAATTTTCCATCAGACATGCAGTTTTCATTCTTCTACATGGAAAAAGTCTAAGTTGCATGGGTACGGGTTCGGGATACAATTCGTAAAATGTAGTGTACGTTGACATGGCTATAAATATGTATTTTATTTATATTTATATGTGTTTAAGTTAATAATTTATATAAGATCAATATTGTTTTTTCATTTACATGAAAACAATATATTAGAAATAGATGTGAAGTGTAGATTACACATCCAAGAAGCGTATGAGGAATGTTTTAAAACAAATATGTAATTGAGTGTACGCTTGGACAAACATAAGCATATATTCAAGAAATGTCCAAAAGGTTTGGGTATGGCTACGGCTTCCAAATAGAAATACCCACGTAATATAGCAGAAAACTGTTCAGCAAATTAATAATTAAGGGATCAACGAAAGAAGAAACAAAGCGAAGTATACAGGTAAAATTCAGATAGGAGATTCCTTTTGCTAGTAATACCTCTTAGGTAAATCGCATACGGCCTTTATGAAAGTTTGACTTGTATTTCGTCCTCAACAATAGAAAATATTTCACGCATCCTGCAAGGAATATATCATTTAAGTTTAAAAATGGACTCGGATCCTCTCCACTACCAAAAAAGTAGTGGAGAGACCACCACTATATCACAACCATTGAGTATCTAGTGGGTGGTTATTTTTTTTCTTTGAGTGCAAATTAAGAATGAGTGCAATACACATGGTAAGGTGAGTATTTGATGTGAATGTATCAAAATCGCCCACTAATTAACGGTCGGGATGAAAAGTAGTGGTCTCTCCACTACTTTTTTGTATTGGAGAGGATCCATATTGTTTAAAAGTTGCTATTATAAACAAATTACTGCAGACAGAATCAAAGTTATAATGGTAAAAAGAATTTTTATATCTTAACTATACAGGTAAATGCAGATAAATGCAAGTCTTAAGATTTGACCACGATGTATTCAACAGAATAAGCATTTATTTATAAATAAACTATGTGTCTTGTCTTCCTTTGTTCTTTCAGTAAATTGCAACATGATTAAGGTCAGGCATTAATTCAATCACTGTAACATCAGGCAAAAACCTTTTCGAACTTGTAATGCCAACTTTTCCACACTTGTGACGTGGCTAAGCCTCTATTGATATCATGATTATATTTCTAGAGCATATGTAATTGACAGTGCTGGTTAAGTTATGCTTGAAAAATATAAATATATTCATCGAAAACTGCAGTCTACTTGGTGTACCTGTTCATGTCAATATTCACATCAGCAAGCCATGCGGTCAAGTACACCTGCAATCAAAACAAATAAAAAATTGTTAAAAAGAAAAGATAGTTTCTTAGTTTTACTTGATCTTTCAACATGTTTGGAATTCACATCATGATTAAAACCAGTGATGGAGCCAAGTGTTTTTTTTTTTTGTGTGTGTGTGTGTGGGTGGGTGGGAGGTGGGGTTGGTTTTTTTTTTCTTTTTTTTTTGGGGAGGGGGCGGTGTTGGGGTTGGGATGGGGCGATACAACCATTTATACATCTCGGAAATCAATTCAAAGTATCGACAATATCATACTCCCTTTAAAAGCACCTGAGTTCGGAAAGATCTTTTTTTAGACAAATATACCCCTTTATAGTTTGAAACTACCTTATCTATAATCAAATTCTAATTTTCAATGTGTCAATATTACTCTTCATATTTTGATTATTTTATTTATATCTTAATCTATCCTAATCATAAATCATATCTATCCTTAATCCTATGTGAACCATGTTTAGCTTAACAATTTAAAAAAACTAATATTAATAAAATATATAAAAACATAAAAATGATATTAGTTTGTTAAGATAAAGAAATTACAAGTAGATAACATATTTATAATACATGAAGTATTGCAAAAAACATTAAAAAGTTTTAAAATTACAAAAAAGACCCTGAAAAGTTCAAAATTATAAAACTCATCCAAATGTCTCAAAACTTAAAATAAAAACATGAATATTAAAAAATTAACATCAGTTTGCAAAGAATTTAAATTTACAGTTAACACCTCAATGTCTCAAAAATTATAGAAACACCCGCCAAAAGTTTAAATTACAGACAAGCATATTAAAATTCCTAAAATTTTAAAAACTTACAAACAACACAGATGAATTCAAGAGATTACCATGATACACCTAAATTTTGAATTTAAATTTAATTTTTAATTAACACCCTCAATATCTCAAAAATTATAGAAACACCTTCAAAGTTCAAATTATAAAAGTCACCCTTAAAATTCTAAATTTATAAATAAAATAAGATGAATTCAAGATCATTACTCTTAGACACCCTAAAATTGAAAAATTTGTCAAAATTGACCTCAAAATTTTTTAAAAACTCCTTCAAATTTTTAAAAATCGTAAAAAAAAAACTCGTAAATTTTTAAAATTTAACTAGCACACATCAAATTTGTCGATTGGTAGACGCTGAAATTTAATATTTTTCAAAATAATCTATAGTTTTAATAATTTACAAAAGACACCCTCAAATTTTAGAGTTACAGAAACTATACTAAACATTTAAAAAATTACCATCAACACATGAAACATAGAATTTACAACTACCAAACTTAAAAGTAAATTTTTTTTAAAAACTCTTTCACAAATTTTAAAATTATAAATCACACCCTCGAAGTTCAAAACCACAAAAAATGGCTAAAATTTTAAAACTTGGCAAAGAAAAGTGTAATTGTTTGGTATTTTTCATATATATATATATATATACTATTATTATATACAATATATTATATATATATATATATATATATATATTAAAATTTCTAATTTAGGGATTTACTATCCATTTTCAGCATCTAAGAATAGTCTAAGTTGATACTGGTAAACAAAAACAATAAGAATTGATTAAAAACATCCGGTTAATGGATAAAATTTTTAAAAATATTATAGATTAAAAATTATCGGCACTATATAAATTAAAGTAATTTCATATAATTTTAGTAATAAGTTGGGGTAGCCAAAATACATTCGTAACATTAATTGATAGATGTTTAAATCCATAGAAATGATAAAACACTATAATATTATACCTTAGCATTAATTGATTTTAATTTAGAAACTTTAATCTTTGACGTTAATAATATTTATAGGGTAAAAGAATACAAGGAATTACATATGGAGAAACTATTAGAATATTTAGAGATAACTTTAAAAGAATTGAGTTATTTCCATTGCAAATGGGAAAGTGATGGAAATAAATCTAAAATTCAGAAAACGTCAATGAATCACTTGAATTGGCATTAACATAAGACATATCTATTAATGAAGCACTGAATGAGTTACATTAAAAAATAATTTAATAACTTTATCCTAATCAAAGAAAAAATCTCCATGGAAGACATAAGAAAAATTAGTAAGTATTCATAAATTCCATACTCTGTTCTTCAAATTAAATATTAATGTTATAATCTAAGAGAAATTGGTAATGAATAATGCAGGTATTTAGTTTAGATCTTTATGAAAAATAACAGGGATAGAGCAAAGATAATATTATTGAAATAACAGAAATTATTATTGGATGCACATCAGAAGAATTCATTTTAGAGTAAAATAAAGAGATAGCTTCTAATTTATTTAAGTAATAAATTAGGAACACAAAGAATTTTATATATATGAAATTAATATTTATTCTCATTGAAATAGAAAAAAAATCAAAGTCTATATTTTGAGCAGTTTGTGTTGAACATCATAAGTACATTTGACTTCTTTGTAAAGTTAAATGAGATGATAAAAAATTAACGAGCCCAGGAAAGATAATAGCATAAAAAATACAAAATTAGCCTGATGTCACAATTGATGTAGATGATGAAGACAATACTCTAGAATTGTCCAAAAAATGATAAATAATAAACCTGAAGAAGGATTGATCTTAACTCAATAAAAAATAAAATAGAAGAAATAAAAACAATATTTTATGAATATTTTATAGAATAATTTAATTATTTTGAGTGAAATTAGGAATCTTTAGAAGGGAGTTTCATAAAAATTTTTCAGTACTTTTATATTCTTATGTGGATGTTTTTATCATATAAAAGTATACTAGAGTTAGCATTAATCTTTAATTTATATTTTTTTATGAAGTCTATCAATGATTAGGAATAAACTTCATATTCTCTTTTGCATCGCTTTAACATACTTTAAATCAATCATTTTGCTATATTGATTTTAAATATTCACCTTCCTTGTATAACACTATTTTAATATTTTTCACTTTGCAATGCTATACTTTCTCAAATAAAGCTTAGTTTCATATCGGTCAAAAATAATATGAAAATTCAAATTATTTTTAAATTATATTTGTTTTTTGTCAATTCAAATATCAACATGAAAATTTAAATTGGGTGTATCCCATTTAAACAAACGTAAAAAACTAATCGGGATGTAAGAGTTTAAAGAAAAAATGAGCACAAACTGCCAAAAATACTTAATCATGGTATTAAATCACGTGCATTGCACGTGTGTAAAAACTAGTGTAATGAAGTACGTAAGTAGGTAAAAGAAAATTCCAAAATACATTTTTTTACAAAAAAAATTATTTCTGATACTAAAATCATTTTAATATATGTTTCAATCTTTAAAAGTCCCATTTTAAAAATGGTCAAATATAGTTAGTTTGTCCATAACCACAAACTACAAATGATAATCATTTTGAAGACCTGACAAATTGGCAATACACTAGAAATTACACCATTAAACTTAACTTCCAACAATAATAAGAAAAGATGAAGCGGTTTTAACTATGACATTTATAGAATAATTGTAAAAATACATGAGCATAGAAAATTCATTTACATATCCATTCTCAGTGTAAAACTTCATAAAATTGAAAGAACCACATTTCACAATTCTAATACAAAATGTAAACCACATTAAAATATAAATGAATTTCACAATTTTAATGCTAAATGCAAAACTACATGGAAACTGAAACATCATTTCTCTATTCTAGTAGAAATGCAAAGAAATTACGTGAAAGCATGGAGCGTGCTTATATAGGGTTTTTCCATATTAATCCCCCAGATATTTGAAGTAATTTTAAATCGGTCTCTAAGTTAGAAGTCGGTTGCAATTGAGGGAGTATTCCGTCATCATTAACATTTTTGGGTGCACTAGTAGTTATACCCGTATACATTCAAAGCTGAATCCCAAAATAAACTCCACTAGAGAGCATAAACTAGGGAAGATTATACGATAGTAGACTTAAAACCACTAGTCTTGAACTTGATTTTGGTGGATTTTGACGTTGATTTCGGTTGATTTGGTAATTCAGTACCCATCCCTGCTTAACCATCCAACCGTGGTTAATAATTTGGATGTTAAATGTAACAATGAGACTAACTTCAAAACTCTTCAAAAACCTGGGGAACAAATTTCAAACCATGACAAGCTTGAGAACTAATTTCAAATATGAAAGACTGGTATGGAGAAAAAAATAATATACATAGCTAGAAAAAAAAAAATTGGGGGTGGGGGGGGAGGGGGGGGGGATGGCCACACCTAACCCCCTTGTCTCTCTCATGGCTATAACCTAATCGATTGCGTGGATCAAAATTGGTTTGGTTATCAGTCGACATAGCATGTATGTTTACCAGCATGTTTAAGGTAGCTTGTTTATTTGTCAACATAGCATTTACGTTTAAAGGTACCTTGTTAAAAGCAAAAAAAAAAAAAAGGGGGGGTGGGGGGGGGGGGGGGGGGGATGGCCACACCTAACCCCCTTGTCTCTCTCATGGCTATAACCTAATCGATTGCGTGGATCAAAATTGGTTTGGTTATCAGTCGACATAGCATGTATGTTTACCAGCATGTTTAAGGTAGCTTGTTTATTTGTCAACATAGCATTTACGTTTAAAGGTACCTTGTTACGAACTTTCATTTCGTGTGGATACAAACACAGGTAACAAATTGGGAATTGGGAAACTATATACTCTGAGAACTTAATATATGTCCCATAAAATAAAGCAGTAACCACAGAAAAGGTTATTAACAAATCCCTTAATAAGATGAAAGGAGCAAGTAGAGAAGCATAACAGAGTTCAGTACTAAAACATCCCTAGAAGTGAAGCTCACTTCACTGATGGATTCTTAAGTGAATGGTCTTAAGTCAAAAATATATGAAGCAGCTAAATAGGAAACTTGATGATTGATAACAACATCCTTGAGATGCACGAGGTTGCAGATTTGAATCTCAACTAATTTTCCCAACGGAACTGAGGTAAATGAAGAATAAAAGAGGAAGCAACAACAAATTTGGGGGGTCTCATCTTCTCCTGGTCCACTTATCAGACCAAACTAGGAAAATTGAAATCTTGAAAGAAGATATTCATAGAACCTGAAATAAGACCATCCATTATTTAAGAACTGAAGTTTCTGGTGAAGACCTGTCCTTGGTCTCTGCATTTTATCTTAATAGGAACCAGGCCCAGATTGGATATCATAGAAGTTCATTCTGAGGCCCTATTATTTGGCCTTTCAAATGTTAAACAACTCCATGGCCTACTAAATTCACTAGAACAACTTTCAGCGCTAATGTATGATAAGCAAAAACAACTGAGATAAAACTAAGTTCTTCTTCATCTTCATAAGCATAGAACACTACATTTTGCACCATTTAACCAATATATAAATTTATTTAATAGTTTATAACATTTATAAGTATCTCTTTATCAAAAACATGGCAACTTTTGACACTCATATGCACCATAAATCAGTTAGTACTGGCTCAAATTTAGAGACAAATTAGAGATACATACCTGCAAAACATCATGATTCCGAGGACATTTAGATTGGTGAGTTGAAGGGTCACCTGATTGCCAGTCCTTTATTCGTGGAGGTAGTGGCTCATTATTTTCGCTGCTAAACATATTGATCATTCTCAAATCATCAAATTCACCAGGATAAAGCTCGTAACACCAACCCAATAGATTAGCTCCTTCATCGCCTTCTTTATAGATAGAACTAAGTAGCTCAACAACAAGTAACCGCTGTTCATGCCAAGGAATCACATGGAACACAAAATACTTAACAAAAGTCACACCAATAGCTAAAGGAAAGTACAGAAGATGTAGAAGAGATGCTAATGATTGCTTCTACGGAAAGGAAAAAAGTAGTAGGCCATGAAAATCTATCAGGCCCAGGATAACTTATACAGAGAAATACCATAAACATTTTTTTAAATGAAAAAACATGGGCTGTCAGTAGTACCTTCAAGTTCAGCTCTAACAGAAACATCTCAATGAGCTCTTGTGCCAGATTCTCTGGAATTATTTAATGAAAAGAGAATTTTCAGAATCTTTTTCAGCTTTAGTATAATCTTGTATTATCTTTTACAAAGCAAAAGTAAGTATAAATGAAAGAAACATGCATGTATGTGTGCATAGTTAGCAAAGTATCTTTGATTCAATTAAAATCAAAACTTGTAGTGTATTAAGAAACTAGTAAGAAACTAGAGAGACGAACAGATATATGCTATAAAGACCTTGATTATAGGATATGGAAATCAGCAGTAATGGTTGGTTGATACCGGCACGATAAGAAATTCCTAAACATGGTCGGTACAGCACCAGCACATAGCTTATTAATTTCTCCAGAATACCCACCAGTCTCATGCACTTGCACAGGTTGAAATGTCATTTGAAAAGTATTTCGAACATCCAGAAGCATATTAAGAAGTATAAAAGGCTGGTATATGAATAAATTTCAACATGGAAATATTAATAAAAGAACATATATGAAGAGATGAATAACAATAAAACAATCAGTGCAATAAAGTACAAGACAAATTCACCTTTATTCTACCTAGCCTAGCAACTAGCAAGTGAAAGGAAAATTCCAGAAGCTTACAAAGATGAAATTGTTATAATTTGAGGGTTCTTAATAAATAGATTTTATTAGAAACGTAAAGAAGGAATAAGATCTACTTTTTAAATCAGAACTCCCCACATGCAACATAAAGGTGACCAGATTCCTAGCAAACATGTCTGGGGTATTTGAATACTTCTTATCTCATCATTGTACTCAGTAAATGTATATATCCAGGCTTAAACAATTATAGACGACATAAAGACTGCATTGCTTTTACTTGAAGGAAAACATGTGTTTCAGTAAAATTAAACAAGTCAATAGTTTTGCCCATTTTGTCAGAAACAAGTATCTCTATTAAACTAGAGAGATACTTCAAGTTTCATTTTATTGGATTTTTGTTTTAAAAGTAAGATCACATGACGTGTATTATCCAATATATGTTGAACCCATGCAACTAAATTATATTATACCAAAGCAGTTTTGAACTTTTGATTAAAGTAATTTTGTTACTATAAGTATTAAATTCAAAACATTGAAAAAAGTAAAAGTTACAACAGCTATTAGTAGGTCCTACCTGCTCAATGCCATTCTATACAGAAACTTTTAGAATTAATTGAGAAAAATTGTGGTCATGAATGATGATGAATTCAAGCAAGGATTACGTCATTTCAAAATATTTTTCTCTAATTGAGCAAAGTCCATAGCCCTTCCTTGAACCTGGGACCTTCCAATTCCCAATTAACTGATTTACCGGTGAATCAGGACTCCCCGGCTATCTTCATGGATTTTATTCACGATAAAATAACATAGACTCTAGATTAACCCATTTTAAAATGTTAATACTCACTAACTTTTGCCCAAATTCAAACAGTTACAGAGACCCAGAGTCAAGTTGAACATTTATCCAACTGGATATGAACCATGCCTGGTTCTCATGAGACTATGCTCCAAGATTAATGCACATTTCACGGGATTCAATTTATATGCATCCCAAACAATGTATTTTAGAAGCGAAATGTATGTGTAACTGTATGGACACAGTTCTAGTAAAGTAAAGAGTGGATGAAAGATGCAAATATTTCTAAGACGGGCCTCAAAATGGTGTGAGTTAGAAAGAGTAAGAAATTGACATCCTCTTGCAGGAACAAGTATCCCTGCATATGCTTTCTTTTCTTTAGGAACACGCCGATGATCTAATATATGATAAAAGCATCGTGCAGCTAATAGGGCACAATGCTAGAAACAAAGGTAGGGTAAAATATGAGCTACTTTTGGAAAGCAGTGGGGGTAATGAAACTAAGGTTCAATTTCACAAAAAACCCCTCAACATTGGGGTTTTTGCACATGAACCCCCTTAAAACTTTTAAGTCCCCTGAAGTTTAAACTTCTCTCAACGGACCCTCCTATCTGTAGTTGACAAATAAGTCCACCCAATTGAGCTTTTTTATTCTCAAGGACATACTCGTTATTTGTCAATTATAAGTAGGGGGTACGTTGAGGATAATTCAAACTTCAAGGTGATTTTGTGAGACACCCCAAAGTTCAGGGGTTTCGTGAGATTAAAAAAAGTTTAATGGGGTCATGTGCAAAGCCCTCAAGAGTTCGGGGGGTTTTGTGAAATTAAACCTAAAATTAAATATCCAAGTTCTGCTTCATTTTACAGCAAATCTCTAATTCCTTCTGCACTAAGCATACCAAAATTTGAGATTGAGAGGAATGAAAATACAGGAACCCCTCCACCATCGCCAGGATCACTAGCATCCTCTGGATGATTACAAAATTGTACAAAGGAACTGACACTAGAAGCTTTAAAAAAACACCGCAACGAGCTAGATGATTGGACCATGTGAGCAACAGAAGATGCCTGCAATAAAGTAAGCAAAAAGGAACTTTTAATATACTCAAAGCTCAAAGATACATAAGATACCCGAAAAAACATAAACTGCAGAATAATTGGATAAAGGTGCCAGTAGACCAAATTTTGAAAGTTTATGCAAGGAAAAATGATTAGGCTACCCCTGACGTCTATAAATCCAAGATCAAGTGTGAGAATATCAGATTTAGAATATTTCTTAAGAAGATTATTTTTCAGACATTTTAAATCAATAATACCATGTTCCCAACATAAACATCCCGACCTTAAATGTTCAAGTACAAGAACGGAAAACCGGAATGCAAACATCCTTGAGGGGAATGTCACAGTCAATTGTAATTTCTGGGTTCTTGAGCCAAGTCATTACCCGAAAAATAAGATCGTCAAAGTCTAAACCAAAAGTCCGTTTCCTAAGAGCAAAAAGAAAACTGTGTGGACATCCATAAGAATTGAGAGGAAGGAGCACTGTGATGCAGGACGATCATGGACCATCTGAAATCATCGGTTTGCTGAAATTAGGATTTATTAAAATATTTTTGGTTTTGGAAATATTTGATGCAATCTTTGTTTTAGGTAGGATTTCCTTAGAATTTGACATTAGGATCTTTTAGATTTTATTTTGTTAGAGATTTTATATTAGAATTGAATTGAATGTCAGGATCTTCTGAAATTTGATTTTATACCATTTCTTTAGGAGTTATCTTTTGCTTTCTTAAAATAAATGTGTAAGCCTCAATGAGAAGACAGACATTGACGAATGAAAGGTTATGAAATTTCTTGAGCATGCGATTTGCTTGTGTTAGGCATCTGAAGAGTCTTCGGGATGTGAAGCATGGGTGTGAGGCCCTTAGGTGTGAAGCCTAGTTATCCCAAACCCTCTTTTTTCTTTGACCCATCCATCTATTTAAAGTTATCCTCAATTCTAGCCCTTTATCTCAAAAGTCCACAGATCACAGCCAAAAAAATGTCATTGATCACGTGAACAGCACAACATTTACATTTTGAATGAACAGTAACGCACCACCAAACCTCCTCGTCTTCAACTTTGCCTCCTAAGAATCATTCGTCAATCTCGCGCAATGTTTCGATGTTTTGAATCCGACTACAAACTTCAACACCAAACCTCCTCCGATCAACCCTCAAGGCCTCACAAACATGGCACTAGAAAGTTAACGAAGACATAAAAATCTACCCACTCCTTTCAGATCCTGACCAGATTTGGATACTCACCAAAGTACACAACATCAAGAACCTTGTACTCTCCGACCGGATTTGGATTGGCATCGAAGGCAATGCTACAGAAGGCGCTAGGCGGTCTAGGCGTTTGAGCCAGCGCCTAGACGCCTAGGTGGACGCCTAGGCGTTTGGCTATTTTTAAAATTATTTAATTATAATAATTGATAAACATATGTGTTAAATTCATATAAATTTGCCAAAAAATAGCAATCTTAGATCCACAATAAACCATGCATACTTAAATACTAAATAACCAAAATAATAATTAATAAGGTTATAGAAAACGCTAGAAGCCCTAGGCGTTGGACTTGATGCCTAGAGCCTAGGAGTTTTTTTTATTTTTTAATTATAATAATCGATAGTAAATGTAAATGTTATAGAAAGCTTAGGTGCCGAACTAGTGTCTAGGCGGATTTCTTTCTTCATTTAAGTGTTGGTCGATGAGGTTTTCTGAAGGTCGGAGGAGATAATGGAGGTGTTGATATTTGGAGGTTAAAGGAGTTTGAAGGACGTGGAGGCCGTAACATAGAAAATCACGATCAAGACCTAAAGGGTACTGTCCCTGTAAGCAGACAATGCTCCCCTAAACACTCCTAAAATCTAGGTGGGCAACCTAGGTATCGCCTAGGCGCTAGGCGCTAGTTAGGCGGCCTAGGTACCGCCTAGGCCTAGGCGTATGTCTAGTCGCCTAGACGGATTAGGCGGAGGCTTTTTAAAACAGTGGTCAAAGGCAACACATTCGAGAGCCTCCCACTTTCAGATAGGAGGCCCCTCCCCAGTCCACATCACACTGCCAACATGGTGTTATAACCAAGATGATAAAGTTAAAGAAAAATAAAAGGAAGAATATGAGCACCCACGATACCAGAACCAACTAACACAAGGAGAAAAAAGTGCAATATGAAAGAAGCTATGCAATATAAAAGAAACAATTGCTTCTTCAAAACAAATAAAAGAAAAGGTGTACTCCGACCAAAAGCAAGGGAGCAAACAAATTTAGTTCTCAGACATATATGTGTAGCAGCACACCTCTTTGAGGAGTGAGATTATTTACTCTTTATGGATCTCTCACGGTCTCACCATTCACCAATAAGAATGTGGAACAATTTGCTACAGGCTTTCGTTTTGCTAAAGTCCTTGCTTTACATATTATGTGACAGCATCTATGCCACCAAAAAGCAATTACCATGAATAGAAAGCATAAACACATAACTTATAGATCTTGCCCAGAGCAGGGCCACACATAGACAAAATAGTTGTAACATTGTGAAGCTCAAGTTTAGATAAATCGTGCATACCATGTCCCTGTAAGATGATAAAAGCTTGCTGTGGTAAATCACCTGTTAGAGAGAGAGAGAGAGAGAGGGAGATACAAGAAAAGGTCAAAATGGGAATACAGCATGAAGAGAGAAACAAATATCATAAGTTTGGACAAGAAAATTAAACAACTTTGTTATTAACACGTAGCTGAAAGAATGGAAAGTCTCAAGATAGTAAAGCAGTAATCTACAGAACTTAGTGTTAAAATAAGTGAAATTAACTAGTCACATTTGAGACTTCTATAAAGAACTCAGAGAGATCGGTCTTTTTTAGAAGTTTAAACAAAAACATATACCTGCCTCTTTGCAAGTTTCTCTTCGGTATGCTGTCGAATACTTGGCATGTCCATCAAAGCACCCAAATCCATATCACGCAAGTATCTGTGAACCAAAAACATCAATTCAAAAATCCGAACTTGAAACCCTACAAAGAATTTAACTGCGGTTTTGCCTTTGAGAGAGGTAGACATTGACGAGAGAGGTGGCGTGAGAACGGGCTTGGGAGGCGGCGGAAAACCAGCTGTTGTTTGAAGAGGAGAGCTTGGACCATTGGTTCCTCAGGTTCTTCTGGGCTGCTGGCCTCCATTGACGCAGTGGTGATGGAGATGGGGATGGAGAACTCAGAGGCTTTTGTTGTTGGTTTGCTTCTTTGTTTTTACAAGACACTGGGGTTTGCATCTCCACCTCTCTCGCTATTGCTCTCTTTTAAGGGGCTGTATGGTTCGATTTCTATAATAATAATAAAAAGAAAAGGAAAATTGCTCAAAATTTGATTTCTCTATATTTCTATAAAATTTGTAGGAAAGTTTTGTAGAATCTCAAAAAGTGGTATTTTCTTTCTTTTTTTTTTTACTCTTTCTTAATTTAGTTCTAAATATGAATAGAGGAAAATCAGCTTTAGAGAAAATGTTGATTTTCAATTCTTTGGCTTGATTGGGTATGAGAATTTTATAGAAACTTGAATCCCAACTGTAACAACTTAGTTTTGGCTAGTTTTCACTTCCCCATGCTCTAACGACTTAGTTTTGGCCACAAATAAAGTTATGAACATGCTACAACCTTTATGAAGCCATTAGAGCAAGGATATCCTCCATGAATATGCACACAAAAGATGGTCTTGGATCCATTCAAGTTTCTTGCAATTGTAATCTCCAAACAACAAACTGCAAATATACCACCAAAAATCCAACATATATGCCCCTTTCAAAGCACCAAAAGGAGCTCTAACCTGAGACCATGTACACATAAGTGATCAATGTAGTACATAACTCCAACGTATTACTTGACAAATGTACTCTTTTTTTTTTCGTATGCAACTTTTGTTGTTTTCACAAGTGAATATTTTAACAGTAACAAGAATATTAGGATGTTTGCAAACTAAACTAGTTAAATTTTCTTATCACTTCCATAACATCATGAGGAACACAAGTATTTTGCTCTATTATATTAAAATTAAAAATAATTCATGGGAATGAAAAGTAAGGCAATGATATGTCTTAGATTCAAACAGAAATTTTATATTTTTTTCTTAGAGAGTTGAGATAGATATTTTTCAGTAGCTTATCCAATCAAGAGACCGAATCAATCAAGGCATCAATGGCTTCGGCTTGGGCCAAACCTGGAGCCTGGGCTCACGAATCAGAGGAGCACGACCCCCCGCCGCCGCCGTCACCAAGATCCCAAAGAAGAACAAGAAGCAAACCCTAACCCTAGCCGAGTTCACCAAACAGTGTTTTGAGGTGGGAGCCCTACGGCCTGGGCGAGGGAGCGGGAGCGGGAGCGGAAGCGGGGGTCCCACGAGAAAAGAAAATGGGGGAGGGGAAATGGGTTCTGGGTTGATAATATTTATTGCAAACTTTTTAGGGAAAAATGTGTCCAGGCCCCAAAAATAGAAACTCCATGTGCTGCAGCCCCTTGTAGTTTCTCCCATGTGGTTCAGCCCCTTGAAGTGTGACATTTTGTGCTGCAGCCCCTTTTTAACAATTATTACATTCTAACTAAGCTAAAATCCCCAAAATAACCTTATCCCCTCTCTCTCTCTCTCTCTCTCTCTCTCTCTCTCTCTCTCTCTCTCTCCTCTCTCTTTAAAAACAATGGCTTTCTCAAGCTCGTCGCTCTGGCCCTCGCCCTCCTTGCCGTCGCCACCTCCGCCCAGGCTCCCAAGCCTCCCCCGAGTTCGTCGCCGCCTCCCCTCCTCTCCTCCGCCCGACCTCGTCGCGGTAGCTCGTCGTCGCTCCCCGTCTCGCCCTCGACTACGCCGGAGTTCGCCGCTGTGCTGCTACTTTTGAACCCTATAGTATGGTAGGCCGGAGGAGGATGACCAAGAGAAAAGAGTGCATGATGCCCAAGAAAAGTGAAAATAAAGGGGCTGCAGGCTTAAGGTCACTCTTTTTTTTTGGAATTTGATGAGAAGTCGCTGCTTGTTAAGGAGATTGTTAGTCAAGATGGTTAAAATTAGAACTAACGTGGTATAAAATAGAACTAACTTGGTATAAAATAGAACTAACATTGTATAAATTAGAACTAACTTGGTATAAATTAGAACTAACGTGGTATAAATTAGAACTAACGTGGTTAAAATTAGAACTAATTTGTTATAAATTAGAACTACCTTGTTATAAATTAGAACTAATATGGTTAAAATTAAAACTAACGTGGTATAAAATAAAACTAACTTGATATAAATTAGAACTAACACGGTATAAATTAGAACTAACGTGGTATAAATTAGAACTAACTTGGTATAAATTAGAACTAACGTGGTATAAAATAGAACTAACGTGGTATAAATTAGAACTAACGCAGTGTAAAATAGAACTAACGTGATATAAAATTAGAACTACCTTGTTATAAATTAGAACTAATATGGTTAAAATTAGAACTAACGTGGTATAAAATAGAACTAACTTGATATAAATTAGAACTAACATGGTATAAAATAGAACTAACGTGGTATAAATTAGAACTAACTTGGTATAAATTAGAACTAACGTGGTATAGTTGGTATAAATTAGAACTAACGTGGTATAAAATAGAACTAACGTGGTATAAATTAGAACTAACGCAGTGTAAAATAGAACTAACGTGATATAAATTAGAACTAATTTGATATAAATTAGAACTAACATGGTATAGAATAGAACTAACATTGTGCAGTTTAGAACTAACACTGTGCAGATTAGAACTAACAGTGTAGACAGAATAGAACTAACATTGTACAGATTAGAACTAACACTGTAGACAGAATAGAACTCACATTGTAGACAGAATAGAACTAACATTGTGCAGATTAGAACTAACACTGTAGACAGAATAGAACTAACATTGTAGACAGAATGTTAGTTTTTTTATACCACGTTAGTTCTAATTTTAACCATATTAGTTCTAATCTGCACAATGTTAGTTCTATTCTGTCTGTAAGGCCCTTCCGTTGTAGTAAAACTTTGAATTTTGTGGTGAGATTGAATTGACGATTATCATTTTATACTCATAACTGTTTTCACGTAGAAGAGCGGTCTGAAAAACTATGACAATGTAGGTACCCTGAGAGTTCGAATGCCAATCCCTTCTGACCTTAGCAATCCACGAAACTTCATCACGAGGATATCTCGATACGACAAAGTGGTGAACATACCGAACGGTATGACTGTCTTAGATGAGCTTCTTCCTATTTCGGTTGAGATGGCAAAGAGAAACCTCAAGGGAATTAATCTGGAATTTCACCAATCCTGTTGTTGTTAGCGACAATGAGATCCTTGAGATGTACAAAAAGTACATCAATTTTCTAAATATAAGCGGGGCGAACTTTACACTGGAGGATCGAGCATGCGAAAGTTATAGTTGCAGCGAGGAGCAATAATGAAATGGATGCTTCAAAGTTGGAGTAGTAGCCTTCCTCAGCTGCTTTCAATCGAAGATTCTCTTGTGAAGTACGTGTTTGAGCCTAACAAGAAGGTCTCTACTTAATTTATCACTGTGTTCTTCATTAGCCTATAAAGAATTAGCTATCACTATTTTTTTAATTGTTAGTAGCTTCAGCCATCGAACGATTTGTTATCTCAAGTTTTGTGACTATTGCAGAGCATTGTCTTAATTTTGAGAGGCAGTGTAATTTAGCATTCATGTAATTAATTATTGGATTTTGCTGATCAACTTGTTTGATGCCTAAATATTCAAGTATTATAAGGGTTATTCTATTGCATGTAAATTCTGTTTGGTCTATGGTGGAAAGACTCCAAACATGATAACAACCTTTTTCTGCCCCCTTTAAAATTAAATTAATCACGTTGTAAACTTGTAATGCATTCTGTTTTTTTTATAACACGTTAGTTATAATTTTAACCATATTAGTTCTAATCTGCACAATGTTAGTTCTATTATGTCTACAATGTTAGTTCTATTCTGTCTATAGTGTTAGTTCTAATCTGCACAATGTTAGTTCTATTCTGTCTACACTGTTAGTTCTAATCTGCACAGTGTTAGTTCTATTCTGTAGCGTGTTAGTTCTAAACTGCACAATGTTAGTTCTATTCTATACAATGTTAGTTCTAATTTATACCAAATTAGTTCTAATTTATATCACGTTAGTTCTATTTTACACTACATTAGTTCTAATTTATACAACGTTAGTTCTATTTTATACCACGTTAGTTCTAATTTATACCAAGTTAGTTCTAATTTATACTACGTTAGTTCTATTTTATATCGTGTTAGTTCTAATTTATATCAAGTTAGTTTTATTTTATACCACGTTAGTTCTAATTTTAACCATATTAGTTCTAATTTATAACAAGGTAGTTCTAATTTATAACAAATTAGTTCTAATTTTAACCACGTTAGTTCTAATTTATACCACGTTAGTTCTAATTTATACCAAGTTAGTTCTAATTTATATAATGTTAGTTCTATTTTATACCAAGTTAGTTCTATTTTATACCATGTTAGTTCTAATTTTAACCATCTTGACTAACAATCTCCTTAACAAGCAGTGGCTTCTCATCAAATTCCAAAAAAAAAGAGTGACCTTGTGCCTGCAGCCCCTTCATTTTCACTTTTCTTGGGCATCATGCGCTCTTTTCTCTTGGTCATCCTCCTCCGGCCTATCATACTATAGGGTTCAAAAGTGGCAGGCACAGTGGCGAACTCCGGCGTAGTCGAGGGCGAGACGGGGAGCGACGACGAGCTACCGCGACGAGGTCGGGCGGAGGAGAGGAGGGGAGGCGGCGGCGAACTCGGGGGCTTGGGAGCCTGGGCGGAGGTGGCGACGGCGAGGAGGGCCAGGGCCAGGGCGACGAGCTTGAGAAAGCCCTTGGTTTTAGAGAGAGAGAGAGAGAG